TACACTTATAATGAGTCTGATATCTTAATAAGAAAAGGCACTATATGTTAAAGACCTAGCAAGTAGCATGATGACTATTGCATAATAACTGTTACTAATATAATGCATCACAAATTATTAAATACAGTATGATACACTCATAATGAGTCTGATATCTTTGTTAATAAGAACAGGCATTACATTTGTATATGATATTAAAGACTTAGTATGATGATTAGAATTCACAGGAGACATAGCATGCATTAAAAGCCTGTGTCTGAGATATTACAATGATATCTTTTGCCTGGAGCACCAGACATACATATCTTATCTGTATCATCACATCCGTCAGTAGCTGCATTGTTTAAAGGCATCCAATGCGATTTCAGAGCAGCAAAACTGGAAATATTTAGCCTGGGTACCATCCTACTTGTATACCGGGGCTCCCACACTCGCTTCCCTAAGAAGTATAGGGAAGCGAGTGTGGGAGCCCCGGCATACAAGTAGGATGGTGCCCAGGCTAGGAAATATTCTGAATAAAGAAATCTTTATGATATTGACACATACTGCTTCACATTAGCATATTTCAATCTTTGGGCTTTTAAAATTGCAGAAACAAGCCCCGGGATGAGTCCTTTATTTTCTGGGTGGTACCCTAAAAATCAGCCAAGTGCCCTTTCAGTAACCATTTTCTGTCAGAATTTTTGGGACTTTTTTGCTCCATGAGGGTCAATAAACATTGGGACAGTATTGTTTCAACTCAGTATGTAGATAATTAATTATTGACTATAATATTGGCTTTGAAAAATCAGGTTTACAAGCCCTAAAAACTGCACTGGATGCCTTTAACTTCCCTTCAGCATTACACACTCTTCTCCAATCAGAGACCCCAATTCCCTGTTGACTCCATCTTATTGTCTCCCGGCAAAGATTCACTCAAGCGAGGAGGCTTTAAAAGCTTTCTGAACCCTCAGGTTCAAGGTTAGCCCTGACCACAGCCAATATTGTTCCCCTGGAAGCCTTTCCTCCAATCGCTCTATTGCCCACTGAACTTAGGAAGAAAAACTCCCTTGATATTTCTGGGAGAGCTGATGAATGAATGTTGTAAAAAGTTCCAGACAAACTTCATTTACGCCGCCCTACATACGAGGACTGATAGCGTTGACCTTTGCGGCGCGTGCGTCGCGATGTGCGCTATTTCCTCTGTTCCAAGAAACTATAGATGTGGTAGGGTGATAATAATTTCTTCCCGGAACACAGGCTATAAGAGGATTAGATCTAATGTGTGTGTGACTTTCCATTAACTAGTGACGCACACACATAGTGATACTGTAACACCTACGTGTACGTTATGCTCATGTGCATGCGATTACACCCCGTGTGACGTAACAGGATTTTAACAGAGGCAATTACATTTTGATGGTGATAACTTGTGGCATACATGATGTACAATAGTCTCGTATCGTAGCTTGGCTATGGTTTTCAACTATGTTTCCATGTTGGTCAGTGCTATGGCCAATATAATTTCTTGTATGATATCTCCTTATATTTATCATACTTATTAATTTTAATTATCCATCACTGAATGATTAGATTTGATAAGCACATGCTCAAAATGGTTTCTCCTGCAAAACTTTTCATGATGTACATGTAAATAACTGCTTAGTGGAATTTCTCATATGATGTTAGACCAGATAGCCAGGATATCTATCATGCATCACTCCTTGTTGTATATAGTAGAGGGGATTCATTCCTCAAGCTACCGACATCTTGCACACGCAGTCGTCCCTCAGTAAGACATCTGGAGCCGCATAGTTCCCGTATAGAACTTTTATTACACGTGTGACAGGCTGAATAAAAGTTCTAAACGGAAACTATGCGGCTCCAGATGTCTTACTGAGGGACGACTGCGTGTGCAAGATGTCGGTAGCTTGAGGAATGAATCCCCTCTACTATATAATGCATCACTCCTTGTTGTTAACATCCTCAAAACGTTTTCTTCAGGGTCACTGGCCTTTTTCCTGATATCGGTTACCAAATTGGCCATCGTTTAGTCCAGGGAGATGTTGAATCCTGTTGTCATTTCACATGATCAGATAGCCTCTCATCCTTATCAATGTGACAAACACATATGATATTAGAATGTTTTCTTCCACACAATCTTTATTGACGGCTTTGGCCATTTCTCTATCTGCTAGTGTCAGATAGTGGTCAACAAAATTTCACATTATGATCCCAAACCAGGGTTATCTGATAACCCTGGATTCTTAGCTCCTTATCAATGTGACAAACACATTTTGAATGTTTTCTTCAACGCAATCTTTATTGACGGCTTTGGCCATTTCTCTATCTACTAGTGTCAGACAGTGGTCAAGAGAAATTCACATTAGGATCCCAAACCAGATAACCCTGGATTCTTAGCTCCTCATCCTTATCAATGTTGACAAACACATTTTTGGAATGTTTTCTTGAATCGTTTTCTTGAATCTTTATTGACCGCTTAGGCCATTTCTCTGTCTGCTAGTATCAAGACAGTGGTCAACAGAAATTCACATTATGATCCCAAACCAGATAACCCTGGATTCTTATCATACATGCAGGTCACTTCTCCTGGTAAACATCCTCTAAATGTTTTCCTCAGGGCCTTTGACAGCGGGCCTTCTCCCTGATATCAGTTATTTGACGGGTCATCACTTAGCCTGGAGAGGTCAGACATGACATGGCAAATAATTGCCCTACATAGTTGTGGTGCTCATCCCCCATTTAGTGGCTGTATGGCATGATGACCCTGCCTCATGCCAGGGGCAGATTGGCAGCACTAGCTGTTTCTACATTAAACTGTAGCTATAGTATAGGGCCACAGAGAGAGCTCGCGAGGCAGAAGACACAGTGGAAAGAGATGAAGAAAGACTGAATGCGGCTACAGGACATTTCCACACGACTGTAGACACAGAATGCAATGGATGATGATGATGATGGTATAGGGCCGCCACACCAACATAATTTGTTGTTTCTCAGATTTAAAAAAAATTGCAAACTGCAAGATTATAATAATGTTTGTTTGTATCTGTATCTGTATAGCCGGCATAACCGCCCTTCGGCATAACACACCAGCTTTGCAGGTACGGAGCATGGCAGAAGCTAGTTATATCACACTGAACGACTTGTTACACTCAATCTTTGCACATTTAATTGCAGGAGTTTGTTTGAGCCTTTGTTTACTTCTGACTCCTGATACACATACTCAAATCACCCTCTTTTCATTGAGGTCATGAAAGAAGAGGTCATGGTCAAAGATTACCTTATAAACAGAGACTGAGGGGAAGTCTTTACCTTGGTGCACTCAGTTTCTGGTGAATGTAAAATGTAGAGCTAGAGAGAGAGGCTAGTTTCTAGTATCAAGATTACTTTAAATTGTGAAGCTTTTGTGGTGGTTTTTATTCGTTGGTAAGACTAAGAGGAAATGGAAAGAAATGTTTGGTGGCATGAATTTGAAGTGTACTGTGGAGAGCTCACTGAAAAACGTGACAGTAAAACCACTGTGAAAGTTTCACAATTAGAATACTACAACACTTTACAGGTGTATATATACCTACCTAAAGCTTTCATGGGGGCCTGCATGCCCTCTTCCGTAGAGCGCAATCGGTCATTTTAATTCTATGCAGAGCATAGACAGACCGCTCTAATTCAACATAGAGTGTAATTGGTACTTTTTGCGTTGAATGTAATTTACCGTTTTGATTCTACGTAATGCGTTATAGACTCCTAAAACTATCTTACTCTAGTCTTATGTCTTTTTCCAACCTTAAATTAACTGTTATAAAACCTACAATCTTATTTTCGTGATGTTGAAGGTATAAAAGCAAGGAGAGTCTGAAACAATTGCACTTCGCCGTAACCAATACATGATAGGTGTCCCTGGGTGCCCATCGAGTGCTGCCTTACTGGCTAGGCCTTGAAAATGAAATCATACTTCATATACTAGTAACCACAGACCATGTCAGATACCAAACGGTCAATCACCTTTTAAATGTTTCCTCGCTGGCTAATTTGGCATTTTAACTTTCCATCATTTTGACACAAAGAAATTTAGAAAGAACTGTAGTTGTACTGAATATTGATACATGGGTACAAAAGGGTCATGAATATGATTTTATGGACCATATGGATGACATCATCATATTTTATTGCCCCAAATATGATTATCTTTTAAAATTAAGTTATAATACGGCACTTTGGTACAAATAACTGCAATAACAGTATGATTTTCATGTGCATAATGGTCAAAGCTACACATGTATGTTTGCACAAATCGATATCTACTAATTACCCGTAGTTATTAGAGAATAACCTAATAGCCTAATTAAAAGCTAGACCTAACTGACCAGATGTCTTTTTTTCACTAACCCATATGATTACTTACATCTGTTCAAAATCAGAGCCAACTTCTTAGATGACATTCTAAAATCTAAAATGTCTCAAAAGTAAGCTCTAGTTTTGTCTACATGTAGGTGTAGGGAGTTATTCATTAGTGAAGTTGAGTGCAGATTTTCTGGATGTCTACATTTGCAGTACCAGTAGCCAAAAAATCATAGACTTTGTTGTTGCATTGGAGTATGTACATGTAGTCTATATAATGATATATACCGTATTAGCACAAAAGTTCATCTGTGTAGTTATACTTCATTATGACAAATGGCTAAACTTTAACTTCCAACACATAAGAAATTGAATTGGGACCAATTTTCGACTATATATACTGTACAGTACATGCCAAAAAGCAGCTACTCAAGCAACTTGATATGATTTTGGAAATGGTCAGACGTTTCAGCTAGTATCCACTAGCTTTTGTCTAGTGGATAGTGCCGTTTCCAAAATCATATCCAGTTGCTAGAGTAGCTCCTTTTTGGCGTATCTTATTACCTGGATGTCTAACCTTCATCGACGTATACTGTACATGTACATGTATGTTAATATATTGTAATGTGTCTCTAATCTGTTGATCTATTTGTTTGCTACAGAGGATGGGGACTATTCCAAGAAGCCAGCCTTCCTGACTGATGACCTGCCCTGTGGAGGGGAACTCATCCCAGGTACTTACTGCAAACATGCTGGAACTAGAACCTATCGGTCTGTCTTGTTAAAGGCATCCAATGCGATTTCAGGGCAGCAAAACTGGAAATATTCTGATCATGAATATGTCAATCTTTATGATATTGACACATACTGCTTCACATCAGCACATTTGAGTCAGTATTTCATACTTTGGGCTTTTAAAACTGCAGAAATAAGCTCCAAGATGAGTCCTTTATTTTCCGTGAGGTACCCTGAAAATCAGCCAGGGGCCTTCCAGTAACCATTTTCCGTCAGAATTTGGGGAATTTTTGCTCCATGAGGAGCAATATACATTGGGACGGTGTGGTTTCAACTCAGTAAGTAGATAAATGGCTAGAATATTTTCTTTGAAAAATTGGGGTTCCAAGCACTTACATTGTAAAGCTGCACTGGATGCCTTAACTATCAATACTTGTACAGGAAATATGAATGGGAAGACAAATGGCATTGTGGTAAAGTACTGATTGAGACATCTGTTTATCAATATGCCCGATGGGGAAAAGGCCAAGGTTATGTCTAACTTGGGGACAAATAATTGTGGGAAACAAGTAGAGGCAGACAACAAATGACTTGAGGATAACGAAACTTTCAATCAAAGGGGCTACGCTTGGAGCTAACTGCATGTAAGACTGCCAAAATCAGTGCTGTTACAAAAAAATGATATCTGGACAAATGATAGCCTGTTTAAGTACTGAGTGAAGCATCTGTTTATCAATATGCTGTTGGGAAAAGGCCAAGGTTGTGTGTAACTTGGGGACAAATAACTGTGGAATTAAGTAGACACAGACAAAAGATGACTTGAGGATAACGAAAGTTTCAATGCTTGGAGGTAACTACATGTAGGACTGCCAAATATCGGTGCTGTTACAAGACAATGATAGCCTGTTAAACGACTGAGTGAAGCATCAGTATTTGTTTATCAATATGCTGGTGGGGAAAAAGGCCAAGGTTGTGTGTAACTTGGGGACAAATAATTGTGGAAATGAGTAGAGGCAGACAACAGATACATTTGTAACTTGAGGATAACGAAAGTTTCAATCAAAGGAGCTATGCTTGGAGCTAACTGCGTGTAAGACTGCCAAATATCAGTGCTGTTACAAGACAATGTTTTTAGGACAAATGATAGCCTGTTTAAGTACTGATTGAGACTTCTGTTTATCAATATGCTGGTGGGGAAAAGGCCAAGGTTAGATGTAACTTAGGGACAAATAATTGCGGAAACGAGTAGAGGCAGACAACAAATGACTTGAGGATAACGAAAGTTTCAATCAAAGGGGCTACGCTTGGAGCTAACTGCATGTAAGACTGCCAAATATTGGTGCTGTTACAAGACAATAAAGTCAGGACAAATGATAGCCTATTAAACTACTGAGTGAAGCATCACTGTTTATCAATATGCTGGTGGGGAAAAGGCCAAGGTTGTATGTAACTTGGGGACAAATAATTGTGGAAACGAGTCGAGGCAGACAACAGAATGACTTGAGGATATCATTTGAATCGATGGGGCTACGCTTGGAGCTAACTGCATGTAAGACTGCCAAATATTGGTGCTGTTACAAGACAATGATAGCTACTGAGTGAAGCATCAGTTTATCAATATGCTTTTGGGAAAAGGCCAAGGTTATATGTAACTTGGGGAAACAAGTACAGGCAGACAACAGAATGACTTGAGGATATCATTTGAATCGATGGGGCTATGCTTGGAGGGGGATAACTGCATGTAAGACTGCCAAATATAGGTGCTGTTACAAGACAATGATGTCAGGACAAAGGATAGTCTGTTTAAGTACTGAGTGAAGCATATGTTTATCAATATGCCAATAGGTAAAGGGCCAAGGTTGTGTGTAACTTGGGGACAAATAACTGTGGGAAATGAGTAGATGCAGACAACAGATGACTTGAGGATATCATAACAAAAGTTTCAATCAAAGAGGCTATGCTTGGAGGTAACTGCATGTAAAACTGCCAAATATCGGTGCTGTTACAAGACAATTGAGTGAAGCATTAGTTTATCAATATGCTGGTGGGGAAAAGGCCAAGGTTATGTCTAACTTAGGGACAAATAATTGTGGGAAACAAGTCGAGGCAGACAACAAATGACTTGAGGATAACGAAAGTTTCAATCAAAGGGGCTATGCTTGGAGGTAACTGCATGTAAGACTGCCAAAAATCGGTCTGTTACAAGACAATGATGTCTGGACAAATGATATCCTGTTGAAAAAAGTTTCAAAGGGGTCATCAATGCTTGGAGGCAACTGCGTGCAGGATTGCCAAATATTGGTGCTGTTACAAGACAATGATAGCTACTGAGTGAAGCATCAGTTTATCAATAAGCCAGTGGGGAAAAGGCTATGGGGGGAACTCCAAGTAGTATTGATAAATACCAGTCAGCGTGCAAAATACCTGGTTGCCTGGTTTTACTTGGGGGAACCTAATTTTTGAACCAAGTTAGCCCAGTGTACATGTATTACCTGGATTTTAAGAATGCCCACTTGGCTAGCACCACTGTAGCCGGCAGATGCTTTTTAATTTTAGGTATTAATGGCTTTTACTAGTATCAATTAAGTTACTAAAGGCTGTTAGGAATATTGTCAAAGCTTTTGTATGTAACTTAATTTGAGGAAAGTAGTAACTTATAGATGGGGCAACCTAAAATTCTGATTGGCAACCTAATTTTTGCCACTGGACAACCTGGTTCAAAAAAGTATTTTGTTCACTGCCAGTAATGTTACACAAGATGATGGCAAGATGCACGCTAGCCTGTTTAACTACTGATAGAGATGTACATGCATATCAATATGCCAGTGGGGAAATGGGCCAAGGTTGCATGTAACCGTCGGGGACAGTAGAATAGGTGTCAAATGGGCTATGCTTGGAGGCAACTGCATGCAGAAATGTCAAATATCAGAGGTGTTATACGGAATGGTGGCCAAGACAGATGGTAGCTACTGATTGAGGCACATGTACAGGCATATCAATGTGTCATTGCAAGAAGGCCAAGGCTGTATCTAAGGTCTACAAAAAAAAAGTTGTGTTTCCTGTTTCAGTCCTGAAAAAATTAGGGTCGGTAGGTAGGGATTATCTTTTCTCTCTCTCTCTCTTTCTCTCTTTCTCTCTCTCTCTCTCTTTTTACTTTGGCTAGCGACACATTATATATATATATATATATATAGTTGTTTAACAAAGTAAAACTTGCATGAGGACACTTATACTTTCAATGTCAATGTTGGAAAACCGATTGTACAATGTTTCATCTCTCAGGTGTCAGATCATGGAGCTAGAAAAGGTTCATCAGCTCAAAAAAATAAGTACCTGCTTGGATTCACCAAAAAAAAAAAAAGACAATGGTCTGCAGGTTTTTCTAGGGTTAGTCGGGAAACAGGAAACAAACACAGCATTTTTTTTCCTAGGCCTAACCATAAGGGTGCTATTGAACAGATGAGAAAGGGTGGACAACAGATGAAATGGGGATGAGGAGTGCCAGTGGAAATGTGTTAGGAGGCAGCTACAGTGTACAATCATGTAGCACTGACAATTATCGGTGTGGGAAATAATCGCAAGACAAATGATATCGTGCTAAACTTTTGATTAAGTAAACTGTAAATCATTGTCATCATCTACCAATGCGTGAAGGCCAAGGTTTCATCTGCTCCATCCAGGGACAATATAGAATGAGGGCCTGCATGGGGGGGGGGGGTAGG